GATTTTTTTAAATCATAAATAAGCCAACCAATTGTACACTTCTTCAATGCCGTGAACTTTCTTTTATGCAAACATTTTCCAGTGACAACACTTATCTAGGAAGCTTGCAAACACATCTACGGAAAAACTATTCTCATAAAACCAAAAATACCCTGTAATCTTCTTAGAATTTCCTGAATTTTTTCCTGTCTCTTCAGACTGAAGGGGCCTACCTTTATACTGTGTGCTCCTCACAGAGAAGCACAATAGCATGACAAACAAATCCGAGTTCCCCAACCCTTCCAATGAATGATCTCATCCCAGCGAACAGGGAGTTTCTGCGGTTTCGTAACACAAACGTATCTTTATCCAAACTCCCTTTAGAAAATAAAGCTTAGTAAGAACATTTTTAAGTGCCTCGTTCTCCCACGGTAAACCCTCACACCGATTTCTTCCCAGCAGTATTCTTCCATTACGCATTGAAAAGGAAAAACACTGACCCCATCCACATCAGGTAACGCAGGAGCTCATTTCTAGCCTTATCACAAGGCACTTTTTTTCCGCCAGCTTCGGTAACCGTGAAAAGCAATTATGTCAGTGTAGAAAAATGCTGGTTACCTTGCTTTCCTCTGTGGCAGGGCCCGAGGACATCTGCTTGCTGTTCCTGAAGTGCAGCAGGAGCTCCTTCACTGAGTTCTTCACACGAACCCCCTGGAAAGGTCCTCTGTGCTGCTTTCCCCCCCCCATGTGTTGCTCAACTGCGGGGACAGGAAAACGAAAAAGCCGAATTTAAGCTGCTGATTCCATTTTCACTTTAAAAATATAAATCTTCTCATACATTTAAGTGATATTCATATATGTAAGTGATATTATATATCACTTAAAATATGTATATCCATATTTTAAGTGAATATATATATATATGTATGTCGTGTGCATATACATATATCTATATATATGTATATGGGTGTAAAAGGGTCGGCAATGGGTGTAAAAGGATCGGCAGCCCCGTGTGGAGGAGCTTGAACCCTTTTGGAAAACCTGATCCTC